GGCCCAGCGAAGAACCCATGAACTGCCAATGAATGAATCCGCAACCCACTTGTCAACAAATCAGGTGAATCCACCATGTTTGTGGAAGAAGATCAACTGATGGATATCGCAAATAATGAGGGCCTTTTAGGGGCTGTTCGCATATCACGTCTTTTTTAGAGTTTGTGTAAGTGCGCCTTTCAGACGCACACAATTCAATGAATTTCATGAGCGCACTGATAGTCACGTGACAATAATTGACCAATCAGCTTCAGCTTGCATGGAATATTCACATTTCGGTAAGACTAATTATCCCAGACAAACCCAGAACACACAAACACTGCAGCGCTTTGTAATTTTCTTTATAAATAAAACTTGTATCAGAGTTACAGCAATGTTTTGTCAGCTTGTCATCCTCTAAGAAAACGTTTGATGGTCACCTGGCCACCTACAACCTACGAACGAATCATTATAGCTCGCCCAAATATTGTACTTTCCTAACAAACAATAAATTAATGGAAAAGAATATTTATTCAGCTTCCAGATGATGTGTACATTTAATTTAAAAAATACAATACGCTCATGACTAGTTTTAAATATGGTGACATTTTTATTCTGCCTAAAATACATTATAAAACAAAGTGTAAATTAAACCTCATGCAAGACAAAATGAGGAACACAGATCTTCTGTTGTTGTATGTCATCTGTGGAGGACATCAGATATTATGAAAATTATGGCAAGACACCACAAGCTGAACTCATTAAATTCATTAAAACAAATGTCCTTCGCAGAGGACAAAAATTAATAAGGTGGTCTCAGGAGCATTACATGTCTATACTTGCTTTACATTTGAGTATTTTACTGAGTGAAAGAGGTCTGATTCGTCCACTTGCATTTTTCTAAAAAGAGCAAATATTTGAGCTAATGATGAGAGAAAGGGCTTCACTAAATACATTTAAAAATGGACATTGTGTGTGGAAATGTAATGACTGATTCTTTTCACATCTTTTGGGACCTATGGTCATGAGCTTTGGGTCCGAAAGGACAAGATTTCGAATACAAGCGGCCGAAATGAGTTTTTTTTCGAGGGTGGCAGGGCACACTCTTATGGATAGGGTGAGGAGCTCTGACACCCGGGAGGAGCTCGGAGTAGAGCCGCTGCTCCTCCACATCCAGAGAAGTCAGCTGAGGTGGCTCGGGCATCTGTTTCGAATGCCTCCTGGACGCCTACCTAGGGAGGTGTTCCAGGCATATCCCACCGGGAGGAAGCCTCCGGGAAGACCCAGGACACGCTGGAGGGACTATGTCTCTCAGCTGGCCTGGGAACACATCGGGATCCCCCCGGAGGAGCTAGAGGAAGTGTCTGGGGAGAGGGAAGTCCGGGGTTTTCTCCTAAGGCCCCGTTTACACTAGTGCGTTTTAGTTTGAAAATGCATACGTTTTGCTACGGTTATGCCGAAAACGGAGCTTTTTGAAAACGCTGGAGAGGCCGTTTTCATTCTGAAACGCTGCTGCTCCGTCTCAGTGTGGATGATGGAAAACAGACATCTGAAAACGGAGGCGGGGCTGCAACGTTTGCCTATCTGATCGGGGCTTTTCTTCAATATTAAGTAACCCACACACACAGTTCAGTCTTGCATCCTCTTCTTGTAAGTTCAGATTTAGCAAGTTTGATCAAGGCTGCAGTCTCTTCTTCTCAGTTTGATATGGAAAACAGACTATACCGAGGACACGGGTAAATGTTCAAAGGGAACAGTGTACTTTATAACTTCATTCACATCACCTTGGCTACGTTGTTTCACTTTGTCAACAATAAAATGTAAACATGATTTAAGGAACTGCCTATTTTTTTTTTTATATTAGCAACTTAACAGACAGCAGACATGTTGAGGCGTCGTGCTGTATATATAAGCGTCATCATCACTGTGTGGATATTTATAACAAAACGGAGCTGATAACAACTGTCTCCTTTCAATTTCAGGGAAAATACGAAACACACCCTCTCTTCTGCTGAATATCAGTTTTGATCGTCGATAATGGCCATTATAAAAGTATAACGTACAATAAGTTTATACATTATAGGAAATAAAGGCAAGCGATCAGTCAATGTACATGAATTAATCATTAACTTTTCTTTGCACTTAACCAAAACACGTTACCTGTGAACAAGTAATAGATTCCAATGACCAAATTCAGGGAATTGGCCTATGTCGCTAGATAAAGACAACAACATGAATGAAATATCACGTTTAGCAAATATAGCGAGATTTGATCAAGCAGGAGATGCTTGATGAGCAGTCCGACAAGCAGAGCTCTCATCTGGGTAGAAATGCTGGAGCGCTTGCCCGAGAGTGTGTGTGTGGTCACGTGATGTGCGTTTTCAGTGTTTTGGTGTGGACGGAGAGCTGTTCAGAAACGCTGGGTAAAACGCGAGTGTGGACGCGGATCGTTTTCATTCTAAAACGCTGTTTTAAAACTAAAACGCACTAGTGTAAATGGGGCCTAAGACTGCTGCCCCCACGACCCGGCCACAGAAAGTCAGCAGAAAATGAATGAATGGACATTGCAATATTTAGTTTTTCTGCGATATGTTTTGCCAGATTACTTGAAAATGTTTGATTGTAGGGGAACACATCTACGAGGCTTAGCATAATCGAGTACGTTCCCTTTTAAAATTAATATTTGTATCCATTTCTCTGTAAATATAGCTAGTACAAGCAGTTTTATGAAACGGGTATATTCATTAAAATAAGAGTTTGCTCACCTAACATCTTTAGGAATTGAAAGAAGTTACATTTAAATTCAATTTAGTTATTGCAATTATATGTATCGTGATTTGTCCTGTTAATTAAAACTGTAATCTTTATTTTCCCCCAACATATTAATTTAGGTGTACTAATTTTTGGACTGTGATCTTCAGTTTTATTTTTTTATCAGATTGGGGTGGTATGTAAATTGACTCTGTGGAAATCTATGGATTTCTGCATGCCAGATTCTGTGTGGGTCTAATTATCAGAGATGAGATGGATTAAAATAAACAATGAATATGTCTTGTGGTTTGTCCTCCAGCATCAGACTCAGCTGCGCCGGAAGCTGTTGGAGGCGTCTCATTCTCTGCGCTCCATCATGTTGGGTCAGGACAGATATAAGAGACGATACTGGGCTCTGCCTCAGTGTGGAGGAGTCTTTGTGGAGGCTCTGGAGAGCGGAGACGGTGAGACAAACAGCATCATCACGGTATATTGCAATTAAATAATCTCTCAGGTACAAGCTTTTAAAGACTTTTTAAAGCACAGAAAAAGATAGTATTATAGATTTTAAGAAAAATTATTAGTAAAACTGTCTGGAGCTCCAAAGGATCAATATACATGGCCTACTGCTACAGCTAAACCTTTGGTCACTCGTGCAGATGACAAATGTCGCTTTCAATGGTGCCAGCAGTGAAAACATTAAGCTGTGAATCAATGTAAATCTGTCAACCTTCACTGTCTTTCCCACATCTGGGAGAGTTGCAGCGTGGAAAAACCCAGAAGAAGCGTACCATCCAGACTGCTGCATGCCCAGAGTGAAGCATTGGGGTGATCAGTGTTGGTATATCATGGCATTCCCTAGGCCCAATACTTGTGCTAGATGGGCGCCGGGTCACTCCCAAAGACTTCCGAACCATTCTGGAGGACAATGTGCACACAATGGATCAAACATTGTATCCTGAAGGCGGTGCCATGTATCAGGATAATAATGCACCAATACACACAGCAAGACTGGTGACAGAGTGGTGTAATGAACATGAAAGTGAAGTTGAACATCTCCCATGGCCTGCACAGTCACCAGAGACTAACATTATTGAGTCACTGCGGGGTGTTTTGGAGGAGCGAGTCAGTAAAAGTTTTCCTCCAGCAGCATCACATAAAAACCTGGACCCTTCCTATTCTGCATGAAGAATGTCTCCAAATCCCTCTGGCCACTGCGCAGGACTTGTATTTGTCATTCTCAAGACCAATTGATGCTGTATTGGCAGCAAAAGGAGGCCCTACACCATACTAATGAATTATTGTGGCCTAAAAGCAGGCGTTTCAGTTTTAAGAAGTCTCAAATTCACTGAAATATTGGGTGGTAGGTCTTAAATCAATTTAAACAGGTCTTGATTTTCCTAAATTGGGCCAGCAGCACCAGAGGCGGGAGTAAGTCACACATGTGCAAGTTACAAGCAAGTCTCAAGTCATAACCTTCAAGTCTCAAGCGAGTCATGTCATTTTTTGTTAGACTCAAGTCAAGTCAAGTCGTCAAGTCAAGTCACTGCTTATTTCAAGTCAAGTCGTAGCTTAGTCTAGCAAGTCACTTTCAAGTCAATCTAATTATGTATGTGTGTATATATATATATATATATATATATATATATATATATATATATATATATATATATATATATATATACATATATATATATATAGATATATA